CCCAGCTAACCAATCACAGCACACACTGACCCAGCTAACCAATCACAGCACACACTGACCCAGCTAACCAATCACAGCACACACTGACCCAGCTAACCAATCACAGCACACACTGGCCCAGCTAACCAATCACAACACACACTGGCCCAGCTAACCAATCACAACACACACTGGCCCAGCTAACCAATCACAACACACACTGGCCCAGCTAACCAATCACAGCACATTTCGTATTTCAGAAGGCGGGCCTTCATTTGATACAGGAACTATTCGAGCCGTTCATGCCAGACTGGGGAGAGAGGTGTTGTAATAATGTAAAATATGTGAAAAATGTGTTTTTCGAACAACCTAATATGAGAGCCTGTTCTAGTACACCCTCAAAACAAAATCAAGACTTTGTAAAAGAGCATAATAGGACCCCTTTCATTTCTTTGCGACTGAAGAAAAAAAGACATGAACATCTTGGATGAAATGGGGGTGAGTAAATTGTCAGGAAATTCTCATTCTTGAAGTGAACTAATCCTTTAAAATTTTCAAAAGTGACAGCAAAGACTGTTCTTTTACACCTTCTGTTCATCAAAGTATGCTGAAAAAGTCACATTTTTACCACAATATTAAGCTGCACAACTGTTTTCAACATTAACCATAAGAAATGTTTCTTGATCAGCAAATCAGCATGTTAGAATGATTTCTGAAGGGTCATGTGACACTGAAGACTGGAGTAATGATGCTGAAAATCAGCTTTGATCACAGAAATAAATTTGATTTGAAAATGTATTCAAATAGAAAACAGTTACTTCTTTAAAAACATACAAATCTAAACAACCCCAAACCTTTGAACAATAAAGTAGACTTGTAGTGGTCAGTCTTTTGGATTTTATCGTACATTTATTTTCAATGAAATGTTTCAGTATTGGATAATCGTTGGAGTTATTGGATTGGCACTGGGATCGAGTCCACGGACCACCTGGGAGTTCCTCTGGCCTTTTGACCTTTTGACCTTGTAAATGTTTATGGTTGTGATGGCGACCGAACCCTGGTCTCATCCCGGATCTGGTGCTGCTATGGATCTTTACAATCTTTGTTTCTTTTTGTTTTTTTAAATGGCTTAGATTGGAGACTGTGGTTACCATGGTAGCGTGAGTTTTTCTATGCAGCTGTTCACTGCTGGAGGTTCCACAGCCGAATCTCTCTCCATCTGTCTGTCTCTGTCTTTAGTGAGCATTTTAGTGTGTTTTTTTGCGGATGATTTGTATTTGATTTATGTGGGTTTAGTTTGGGTCAAGAATCTATCCCCGTTGCATCTGAAGCGGAGGAACCGCTCAAATGTTTTCATTCAATATCTCAAATATTTAGCTGCTGTGTTTTAGCTCTGCTGGCCATGGAAGCACATGTTTAGTTTCAGCCCAGCTGTTTCACTCTCTCTCTCTCTGTTTCCAGTCCACTTCTGCGTTCCTTCTGTAGTGAGTGTGTAATAGGTCAGCAGCAGTGTCTGTGCTTGCATAAGGGTGTCCAGTCTTTGTTTATGCAGTCAGTGAATGTGTGTGTGTGTGTGTGTGTGTGTGTACTAACACTATCGTCTGATGTGTTGTGTTCAGGCATGGCACGAGGTGCGCTGGTGAAGTAGCAGCGTCCGCCAACAACTCGCACTGCACGGTTAGCTCTGCTGGCCATGGAAGCACATGTTTAGTTTCAGCCCAGCTGTTTCACTCTCTCTCTCTCTGTTTCCAGTCCACTTCTGCGTTCCTTCTGTAGTGAGTGTGTAATAGGTCAGCAGCAGTGTCTGTGCTTGCATAAGGGTCTCCAGTCTTTGTTTATGCAGTCAGTGAATGTGTGTGTGTGTGTGTGTGTGTGTCAGTACTAACACTATCGTCTGATGTGTTGTGTTCAGGCATGGCACGAGGTGCGCTGGTGAAGTAGCAGCGTCCGCCAACAACTCGCACTGCACGGTGGGCATCGCTTACAACGCCAAGATTGGGGGTAAGTGTGGCTGACGGTCACTGTCTGATTTAGATCCACTGCTGTACCTGGGAATTCTGCCTTTTGTTCATACTCTCGCACACACTGTGAATACAGTGCCCCTGTATGCACCCGGTACCCCACAACAGTAAAAAGTGTGAAATAACACAAATTAGTATATCAATTGTAGTGACCAAAAAAGTTACATTAAATAAACTGGCTCATATACATGTTCTTCAAAGTCGCTAGATTACTATGATAAGATTACAGCTCTGCACACTGTACAATTTATCCATTTAGTAATAATTTAATAATTATTAATAAAAAAAAAGTTTTGCTAAGAAATTCATACATGGGCTCAATTTATTTTTCAATAAAATCATTCATGGAAAAAGCTTTAGTTCAGAAAGTTAAAGGGATACTCCACCCCAAAATGAAAATGTTGTCGTTAATCACTTAACCCCTGCACGGATGCGCTGCTTTCGTTCAAATCAAAGCGTAAATACACAGAAAACGTATCCTTGTGTCGCGGCTGACACAGAAGAGCGTGCGCTGCTTGCGTTCAGTTGTTATTCTCCAAAATGGCGCTATGGTGATGCCAGAGGAGACAAATTGTTGAATAAAGTCATTATTTTTGTTTTTTTCACGTACAAAAAGTATTCTCGTCGCTTCATAACATTACGGTTGAACCACTGATGGCAGACTATTCTGACGATGTCTTTCATACTTTTCTGGACCTTGACAGTGTAATTTACTTGGCAGTCAATGTGACAGTCACATGCCTCCTGGTTTTCATCCAAAATATCTTAAATTGTGTTCCGAAGACGAACGAAGCTTTTAGGGTTTGGAACGACATGGGGGTAAGTGATTAATGACAAAATTTTCATTTTGGGGTGGAGTATACCTTTCAAAAGAAATACTTAATTTTGTATTAAAGAAATCAAAAGAAATACTTCATTTAAGTGTATCCAGACTTTTGACTGGTAGTGTAAACACTCTTCTGCTGGATGTTGCCAGTTGGAATCACTCAGATAAGATTTTTAAAAGCGGGAACTAATATTTCTAATATTGCACTGATATTCTATATTCATCTGCATGACTGAAAACCTGCACAGACAACTTTTATAGATTATGGTCAATTTTTTGGAAGTCAACTAAATAAATTTTGGTCCTTTTTAGTTTTTTTACAAGTTGGGACTTTTGCCATTTTATTTAAAGACGTAATGCCAATTTAAAAATATAACAGCTTGTGTAAACTCGATACACCTACATTCTGTGTATCTGTTTATGAATGTAAGGAAACATCATATTCAGTACTATTCAAAAGTTTGGGGTTGGTAAGGTTTTCAGAGGTTTTTAAAGAAATCTCTTATGCTCATCAAAACTGCATTTATTTGATCAAAACTACAGTAAAGGCAGTAATATTGTGAAATATTATTGCAATTTAAAATAACTGTTTCTTTATTTTAATACATTTTAAAATGTAATTTATTTCTGTGATTCAAAACTGAATTTTCAGCATCATTACTCCAGTCTTCAGAGCCACATGATCCTTCAGAAATCATTCTAATATGCTGATTTGCTGATCAAGAAACATTGCATAATATCAGAGTTGAAAATAGTTGTGCAGCTTATTTTTGTAACAAAAACCATGATGCACTTTATTCGGGATTCATTGAATAATATAACATTAAAAAACAGCATTTATTTGAAATACTGTATATATTTTTGTAACATTATGAAATTCATTACTGTAACTTTTGATCATTGTAATGCATCTTTGCTAAAAAGCAAAACAAAAACTGAATTCTTACTTTTGAATGATAGCATATGTATACACACCCTCTAATACATCCAAGCCTAATTATTCAGGGCTTCCTTAAGATAGATCAGTTGACTAGTCATTTAGACAACATCCCTCTGACTAGTTCATTTTGGAAATGTGTAGGTTTGAACGTCTTTTGGACGTCATTGCCACACTGATCTTCAGTGCCTTGCATATATTTTTTCTTTGGGCTTGTCCTGCAGGTGTCCGCATGTTGGACGGAGATGTGACAGACATGGTAGAGGCCAAATCACTGAGTCTACACCCTCAACACATAGATATTTACAGTGCCAGCTGGGGTCCAGATGATGATGGCAAAACCGTGGATGGGCCCGCTTCCCTCGCCAGACAGGCCTTTGAAAACGGCATCAGACAGGTAAGAATCATCTCAGCATGTATAGAAGTTAATATGATATGTGTGTTGTGTTTTTCCTGAAACTGAAAGTGTCTTTTTTCCATATGATGTGGCATTCATAAATCAGCAAGTGTAATTTTCAGGTCATCAGTCACGTTTCTCCAGCAGTCTGGCCCACCTAGGGTGTTTTCCTTTCCTTCTCACACTCACCACCTGCTATGCCAGTGAACTTTAGAACGGGATTTTAGTTTATCTTCCCTGAGTCATGAGTCACAATCAGTAATTAGCCTGTATCTTATGCCAAAGGTGTGTTTGGAGTGGTTTAGGCATGTTTCAGGTATGTGAGACTCAGGGACATCAGGTAATATTGGTCTCCTCTCATCACAAAAGGCTGGATGATATTAATGCTTGGAGATTATAATTGTCCTGATGCTGTTAGTTCCTGCTTTGGAGTGTTTCAAGTAGGGCTGTCAGTCAGTTAAAAAAAAAACTATATTTGTCGACTATATTTGTTTTTTTTAGAATTGAGACACATTTTCATTACCGTAATGCATCCGGATGATGTTTGTAAATTATTCTCAATGATTCGTGTTAGATTCTCTTTACTGTAATATGGCAATGAAAATCATCCTGTCTGGAAATGATGAACTTTTTGAATAGATATATATATTTTTAAATAAATTAAGTTAATGTAGTAGTTTAACCACCAGTGTTTTTATTGTTCTTAAAACTATTACATTTTGTTTATTTATTTATTTTTTAAATAAAACCGGTAACCATTTAAACTTATTTTATTTCAGTTAGTTGGCTAGGCAATATTTTAAGTTTTAAGTTAATTTAAATACTAAAATTACTAAAACTAAAACTGAAATAGAAATATATGCTAAATAGAAATATAATAAACTAATAATAATGAATCAATTACTAAAACTTAAGTAATACTTAAGTAAAATTAAAATTAAAACTGAAAATATATATTTATTAAAAATATATGTATTTGTGAAAATATATGAATTTAAAATTCGTAATAATAATATTATATAAAAAACACTAACACTAATTCATTGATATAGAATATATTTGTTGGTTACAGTAATGAGAAGGAAAATGGAGGAAAAAGGAGGTTGGTAAGGGAAGTAAAATGGGTTTAATATATGTGTTGTCTTATGTTTTTTTTTTCTTCACAGGGCAGGAAAGGACGGGGCTCAATCTTTGTTTGGGCGTCAGGAAATGGCGGTCGGAGTCGCGATCACTGTTCATGTGACGGCTACACCAACAGCATCTACACGATATCCATCAGCAGCACGGCAGAGAGCGGCCGCAAGCCCTGGTATCTGGAAGAGTGCGCCTCCACCCTCACCACCACCTACAGCAGCGGAGAGAACTACGACCGCAAAATCGTAAGTTATCAAGAAGACGCTCAAACTAGATCTTCAGCACTGAGTAAACTTGCTTTTCATAAAACAGGCCTGCTGCTTAATTCATTTTAAAGGGATAGTTCTCCCAAAAATGAAAATGGTCATAATTTACTCACCCTTAAGTTGTTCCAAACTTGAGTTTCTTTCTGGTGTTAAACACAAAAGAAGATATTTTGAAGAATGTTGGTACCCAAATATTGATGGTAGCCATTGACTTCCATACCATTTTCTTCCATACTATGAAAGTCAATGGCTACCGTCAGCTGTTTGGTTACCAACATTCTTCAGAATATCTTCTTTTGTGTTTAACAGAAGAAAGAAAGTTTTGTTTTTGGCTTGTAGCTTTAGAATACATTTTTTTTTTCCCCAAATGGGTGGAAACTTGATATTAATCTGTGCTAAAAAATGAGCTGAAGCACATTTAATCATTCAAATATTTATGGAAACCTTTTGGAAGTTAAACACCAGTGAACCGCACAATATCTTGAAAAGTAGAGCTGTCTCTCACATCATTTTTCCAATGTATTGCTGTTTAAATACATCTAATGCATTTTCATTTGCTTCTTTGGCCATGCATGTGTGTTTGATCTGCTTTGTTGGTCACTGTGTCATGAGAGCATCCTGGTGTTAACCACTGCGGTTTACAGCCCACACACAGTTTTACACACTCCTCTGAGAGTTACAGAGCGACGCTTCTTCCCTGTCTCTCAGCTTGTCTCAGAGTGACGTGTGAAATTCCACACCGGCTTTCAAACTCTTTTTACCATACATGTTTACATTCTGAAGCCCAGTGTTACAGACATTAGCACTTCTCTTTGTTGTGATATCCTGTAGTTTTCAGTTCATTCAGCTCAGATTATAGTTCACTGAATTTCCAAGTTTTCGCAACATTGTCCATTTACTAGATAACTTATATTTACACACGTTTATTATCAACCAGTCCAGAGTTATTGTTATTAAAGGCAACCATTACAAAGATAAATATTAGCAGTGAAAATATTTTAGACAGCTGTACGGAAAACAAAATTTTGGCAAAAAAAGGTTGATTGTGTACTGTTAATATCATAGTTCATGTGATGAACTTGAACCTGTAGCAAAATCTGTAAATCTTTCCCTCCCACATGAAACTCCTGATTGTGTGAATTCAGATATTGAAAGAGTGGATTACGCTTGTAGAAAAATGGTAAATGTGTCCACACCTTTAAAATGGGGGGAAAAAAACAATTACAGAGAAAAACACTTTTTTATGTTTAAAAACTTGTGCGCTTTGCCTTTGAGTGAAATCACTGTCGTGTAAACGCACCTTATTACGTTCATATTGCAAATCTTCTTAAATGTCCCATGAAGTACCTTGAATTATTATTATTCAGTGTGTTGATGTAATTTCAACTGAAACAGGAAGTCAGGGTGGGACATATCGAGCAGCTCTGCCCCCTTTTCTAAATAGCCAATAGAATTTCATCCATATCTCTATAAAATATAGCATTCTGTATGGAATTCAAATGGGTCTGATATGTTGTCTCTGGACCGGAGCAGACTGTGTGCGCTGCGGTAGTTCACGTGAAACCATACTTTATTCACCCCAATCGAAAGCATATTTACACTGTCTGAATCTTTCCCTATCCACTATATAGTGCACTATGAGCCATTCACCGTACAGAAAATACTAATTCTGTGAAAAAAGTGACTGATATCTGTTTATAGTGTAGAGGGCGGGACACTTCAGATTCTAGAGAACATCTGATTGGACAGAAAATCTGATGAGAAGCTGAAGTGCAGGGTGATGTCATCAAAATCATTAATCCATATTGGCGGAAATGAGAGACTGTAAGATTTGAATGCTTATGTCTTCTAAATGTAAATTGCAAGCTGGTAGACAGGAGTGTGTTCGACCAAAGTCCGTTTCTCAGTTCGACTTGAAGCAGCAATTCGCAGACCGATCGCTGTATGACATCAAAGCACCGCGAGAGCTACAGAGAGCAGATGGCTCTGCATGCTTTCGAATCACTCTCGCGGTACTTTGATGTCTGGTCGGTCTGCGCTGCTGCTGCTTTAAATCGAACACACCTCATCTCACAGCCGGTCCGTTTTGACGGCACACTTACGCTTACATCCGCATGTAAACATGTCGTCGACGTAGAAGTTCTTCATTGTGAGTTAAACAGACACAAAATTCGCTTAATTTGTAATACAATATTGACTGATTTTGCTCAAGTTCGCTGACGAAGTTTCAATCAAAGCCACAGTCATTAATCCATATTGGCGGAAATGAGAGACTGTAAGACCAGCTTGCAATTTACATTTAGAAGACATAAGCATTCAATTATGTCTTCTAAATGTAAATTGCAAGCTGGTAGACAGGAGTGTGTTCGACCAAAGTCCGTTTCTCAGTTCGACTTGAAGCAGCAATTCGCAGACCGATCGCTGTATGACATCAAAGCACCGCGAGAGCTACAGAGAGCAGATGGCTCTGCATGCTGTCGAATCACTCTCGCGGTACTTTGATGTCTGGTCGGTCTGCGCTGCTGCTGCTTTAAATCGAACACACCTCATCTCACAGCCGGTCCGTTTTGACGGCACACTTACGCTTACATCCGCATGTAAACATGTCGTCGACGTAGAAGTTCTTCATTGTGAGTTAAACAGACACAAAATTCGCTTAATTTGTAATACAATATTGACTGATTTTGCTCAAGTTCGCTGACGAAGTTTCAATCAAAGCCACAGCAGAACTGTTTTGTGTCTCCGAGTAACACAGCGGTGTTTCGATACTGAGTGAATCCACGTTTTTGAACAAGTCACTTGCCTTGTTTTTTAATGAATCCGCTGTTTGAATGAATGACTAATGACTCGCTCATTAAAACAGTCATTTACCATCATCTACTGGTGGTTTGGTTTCATATTTAAAACTATTGGGCCCCCAGACCCCTTTACAAGGGTCATATTCCAAACTATGTCACCTTTTTGATCTCTTGTGAGTTTGCAGGTATGATAAAACCATGTCTGCATTTGTGATCGGAGAAACGACAAACAACAAGCGCTACTCTACACTGCTGAAAACTCGCGTTTGAATCATCAGTGGCAAATTCTTTAAATATAAAAAAACGTACTTACAGGCTGTGAGTCAGCATTATTTGTCAGAACACCGGTATTGTAGTCTACTCTCCCAGGATCAGGAAACAGTCCTCCGTAAAATGCGCTGCATACATCTGAATATTCGGTTTGAACTGTTCTGGAACAGTGTTGTAAATACAACTTAACCACTGATTTCTAGTCGTGTCCTCTTTTGGAAGGACAAACAAAGTAGTTTCGTTTCTCAACGAAACACACAGCGTCTCCACGACATGGCGGCGGCGGCAACAACAATACTACAGCGAGAATCAAAGTTACGCCTTCTTTCTTTGCGTGAACATTTGGGCGGTGTTATGCAAATCTTCCCACACAGTGACATAGACATGTGGGGGCGTGTTTAAACGAGCTGTTTTATGTAGGCGTGGACGAGTCTTAAATTTTATAAAGAATAACTCTTTGGCTTTGAGACTTTAGTCTTTGCAACTTTAGGGATCTTATCTATTTACGAACAGCTTGTAACACTCCAAAGAGAAAGGAAAACTTAATCGCATTATATGACTCTTTTAAGGCTAACATATTCATACTGAAAGCCAAAAAACTTGATTTTGATTTCATTGGGACTTTAAGACTTCTGGTCTGATTTATTGTAAATAAATAAAACATAACTGTCCAATTAGACAGGAAGGGGGATGTTGACTTATAAATCAACCAACCACACTTTGTTTTTTGTGTATCTGACGTTTAGAGTGGAGTAAATCTGAAATCCATCACGCAGCTGAAATTAGAGTCTCATTTAGTTGATCCAAATGAATATATTTCAAAGATTTTATTGCATGAATCTCACAATCTTCAAACTGATGCTGACACAGTATCTGAGTGGATCCAGTCCATGCTGCTGAATCACAGATGCCCCAAAGTCGTGGTAATTTACTGCTAAGTGTAGCACAATGTCACATTTATAGCACATTTCATTGTCAGTAAGTACTCCAGTATGCTGAAGTGCATTTAACAAATAAAACTTAAATTTTGGCAATATTTCTTTTTGGACTAAGTATAGTGTGTGTGATTAAAGCAGCAGATGGAACAGTTTGTGGCCCTGTGTGAGACGGGATGCAAATTAATACACTATATAATTCTAAACTACACAAAAAAAAGTATAGTAATTTTCAAAAATGCAAATGATATATATAAAAAATAAAGTTAACTAAAACTAAACTCAAATATCAAAATACAAAAATGCAATGCAACAAAACTGTCTATCACATACTCGCAATGTAGACAGTGTTGTGTATTATAACAGGAGCGGTCAAGTTTGGTTACTTCACGTTATGTTACTCACATGCAGTGTCTATACAGGTTCACTTTATTCACAGATTAACACATGGAAATACCGTGCACAAGAATAACCTGAATTATTTTTGGCTCTCCTGTTAGATCACAACTGATCTGAGGCAGCGCTGCACAGACAGTCACACTGGAACATCAGCGTCAGCGCCGATGGCGGCAGGGATCATTGCTCTTGCTCTGGAAGCCAAGTAAGTGGAAGCAAACTACTGTATGCTCTCATTTCTCTAACAGTTCTTTAGTGGAAGTGTCTGCTCCAGGCCACTTCAGTGGAATTAGCATATTTATCCATTAATCATGAAGGTGTTATGCTATAAACTCCAGTTACTTTTCACACTCTTACTGACCCTCTGAATTTAAGGTATAGTTTACCCAAAAATGAAAATTTTTAAGAATGTTGATAACCAAACAGTTGACTTTGACTACCATTGTATGTTCATTTTTGTATGAACTATCCCTTTAATTCAGAAGGTCAGTCCTTATAGATCATCAATACCTTATTTCAAAAGTGCAAGAAAAATCCAGGCCCCTTCAAAATGCTGGGACTCTAAACGCCGTGTAGCGAGCAGCGTGCTTCCCGTAAGTTTCAACTGTGTCTGATTTCACACAGGAAATTGAGGAAAACCTTGACGTATGGCTGCCATGTGACTGTATATTCCCAGCACAATGCAGTGAACCAAACAGAGTTAGATTGTTTCAATATTTCGGGGGGATATTCGGGGACACATGGCATCCATCTGTCTTTGGTTTGATGTTTGATCCCACTGTGCACGGTGAATTATGGGAGCGAATGTTTCAACCAGACATCCAGGCAATGAGACTCTGTGAACTACAGCTGAAAACTGCGGCCAGTGTGATTGTTTGGATTATAATAATTGGATTTGAATTGGAAAAAAATCCAGTTTGGAGATATTATTTAGTCACGCAAATGGTCACATAGTTGCAAATGTCCAATAATCATATTTCTAACTCTCTGCTGCAGTCCTTTCCTGACGTGGCGAGACGTGCAACACATAATAGTGAAGACATCTCGTGCTGGCCATCTCAGCGCTCCTGACTGGAAAACCAATGCTGCTGGTTATAATGGTAACAGCCTTTTTAAAAGTTTTTTTAACACGCTTTAAACTGCCCTGTCTTGTTTTAATCACTAGATTGTAAGTGATGCTTGTGTGAAATACAGCATGCCCAAAAATATTCAGATGTTAATTTTATTGTATGCTCAGTCTTCTGGGTTTTCCAGAGTAGGGTTGGGCAAAATACCAAAATCTTATATCACTATATGAGTAATTTTATTTCACGTTAATGGCATCACAATATAGTTATTTTTGCTTTAAGGCTTTTATGATATCAGCATTTTTAACTTCTATATATTTCAATACCACAAAAAAAGCATAACGTGTAAAAAATAACTCAAGACAAATAAAGTGATAAAATAAAAATCTCAAGACAAATTCAGTGATAAAATAAGCAAAAGAGTGAGCAAATAAACTAATTACAAGCAATAGTACTAAAAACTACAGCAGAACATGGATACAAATGAAATAGACCTACGTGAAAAATTTCAAGCACTAGAAATAAAGTACTAATTAAATTGTATGTTATGTACCAAAAAACACTGCATAGTCTTCTCTTTGTAAATTAAATATAGATTTATCCCTATTAAAATGACATAAGTTATTCAGTCGAGAGCAGCAAGAGATTTCCCTCTTTTGTTGTTTGATTAACATTAATGACACAGGCTGCAGCAGGTTTATTAGGCTGCTGTCACTTTAAGACTGAATGCATGGATCTAATAAACTGACACACATGCGTTTTCTTTCTCAACTGTTTACGTTCACTTAAGACATAAAGACGCGGGTCTATCATGCCGAGAACTCTCTTCTTGTATGCATAATGATGCATTTAAAAGTGAATGACCAAACGTGTCATTATAAAAATTCACAATGTTGCTGCAGATTAAATATAACGTGCATAACATTAAATAAATATTTTTGATCAGGTTAGACATTGATTATTTAACACTCAAACCCCTTTCTCTGCCTGTCCGTCGGTCTCGCATATCCACCATGTTTGTAGTTTTAAACACTTTTTATGCATGTTTGTAGTTCTAATCAAATCCTTGTCCACCACGCAATGTGTTGTGGGCAATATTAGCTGTTAGAGTGCGCATCGATCTGCACTTCGAATTTTAATCTCAAGTAGTAGACCATCCGGGAATCTTTGGCATACTCTTTTCAACATACTATGATTTGGGACATACTAATTCTATTTTCGAATGCTATTTAGGATGGATAGTATGCGAATTGGGACACACCAATAGAAACCTGAGGCTGGACCAGCCGATGCGCATTCACCGTCATAAGCGTGTTGGAGCTACGCATGCGCATTGGCTGGTCTAGCCTGAAAAATAAGCTTTTTAAATGCTATTTGAGCATAAGAAACAACATTCATGGGGCAGTTCATTTCAGATTTTGTTGCTGATTTGAAATATGTAATTTAATCGCAAGTTCGGCGAGCAGTTTTTGAGATTTCAGGATTCCCACATTAATTTAGATAGGACTTGGTCTTGTTTGAGCTGCCCAAAGGCATTACAAATATGGCGGCCGAGTGAACAGACTTTCCTTGAAAGGGACTTTGGTACAGCCAGCAGATCGATCCATTTACATTATGTACATTATGTAAATAATTCTTATGTAGTTCATAAAGATCATTTTTAAAAAAATTTCTGTTGCACTCTATATATTTCTCACTCATTTTGTGCGTAGTTTGTGAATCATTTGCACTGTTTGTATTTTTGTTGCAGAAGACAATTTGTGCAATTGTTTTCACTATTAGCTGCACGGGTTGTGCTTGTTGTTGTTTGTACTCGGATTGAAAATATATTTATCGGAAAAAAAGTCACTTTTTTTACTGTGTCCTATTATTATATAACACTGATTCCATTTTCTGTACTCCCTAAACGTTTTTTGGACACATCTATATTGCTAGTAAACTAAATAGACAATTTTTTTACTGAAAAGCGCCTATAACAATATTGTAATAAACGGCTATAACTTGCTTGGGGAATGTTATATGTGGACAAAATTTTATCGGCCGAGTGAACAGACTTTCCTTGAAAGGGACTTTGGTACAGCCAGCGGATCGATCCATTTACATTATGTACATTATGTAAATAATTCTTATGTAGTTCATAAAGATCATTTTTTTTAAAAATTCTGTTGCACTCTATATATTTCTCACTCATTTTGTGCGTAGTTTGTGAATCATTTGCACTGTTTGTATTTTTGTTGCAGAAGACAATTTGTGCAATTGTTTTCACTATTAGCTGCACGGGTTGTGCTTGTTGTTGTTTGTACTCGGATTGAAAATATATTTATCGGAAAAAAAGTCACTTTTTTTACTGTGTCCTATTATTATATAACACTGATTCCATTTTCTGTACTCCCTAAACGTTTTTTGGACACATCTATATTGCTAGTAAACTAAATAGACAATTTTTTTACTGAAAAGCGCCTATAACAATATTGTAATAAACGGCTATAACTTGCTTGGGGAATGTTATATGTGGACAAAATTTTATTTGGAAGTGTAAAACACCCCGATACAACTTTCTAAAGAAAAAAATCCAAACTTCAGGAGTTTCTGTTTGAGTACACAGTAAAAAACACCCAATTGTTGCTTGCGTTTTTCTTAAAATTCTGGAAATTCATTAATTCTTAGAGAAAACAAAAGGTATATTGGGATATTAAATTAACTAGACTGAAACTTCAAGTTCTCCTGTTTATAATGATATATGACACTTGATGCTGACTGCTAGAATAGGTCTTAAAAAACAAAGAAAAGGGCAGGCAAAAATGTTCTTGGTCTTTAAGGGGCAAACATTAACTGAAATAAAATGGGGGGGGGGGGGGGGGATTAATATAGAAATGTTTATAATCCAAGGCATCATTTCTCATTTTCATTTAGTTTAACAATGTACTAAAATATCTACAACTAAAAAAGAAATCAAAATTAATCAAATCTATATTGATTTTTTTTTAAAATAAAATAAAAATGGCCAAAATACACCACAAAATTACAAAAAAGTTTACTAAAATTAAATGAAAAATATAAAAATAAAAACCAATTCAAAATATTTTAAAAACCTGTAATTTCAATGATACTAAAATAGCACTGATCTGCATCATGATTGATGGTCATTTTGGTGTTCATAGTAACTCTAAATCTGTGTGCATATTGTTATTTTTTTTGTTGAACAGTTAAGTTGTAAATATTCTTACAGTCAGTCACCTGTATGGCTTTGGGCTGATGGACGCGGAGGCCATGGTGAAAGAGGCGGAGCGCTGGAAACAGGTTCCCCCACAACACATCTGTGTGGAGAATGCTGATAAACAAATCAGGTATATGCAGCATCCAACAGCAGGTCACATTTATATTGTTATATAAGTCATAATAAATTAAACATAATAAATTTGTTTCCCGTAGAACAATCCGTCCAGAGCATGTCGTTCGTTCGGTATACAAGGCAACAGGCTGCACGGATAATGCAAACCATCACGTTATTTATCTGGAGCATGTGGTCGTGCGTATAACAATTACGCACCCGCGACGAGGAGACCTGTCAATCAACCTAACGTCACCATCAGGGACAAAGTCACAGCTGCTCGCCAATAGGTACAATATACAGACTACGTACTTATCTTCAGTAAATGGCTACTTTGATAGAATTACTGCATAATGTGGTTTGTTCTTTCTCCCTGGTGAAATCCAGTGGAAGAATTCCCAGATTTCCACTGAATTGGTCCAGTATTTTTAAGTGCATTTTGTGCTGTGATGTAGCATCTGTTTATTGTTACTGCAGGCTGTTTGATCACTCAATGGAGGGCTTTAAGAACTGGGAATTCATGACAACTCACTGCTGGGGAGAGAAAGCTGCTGGAGACTGGATACTAGAGATCTATGACTCTCCTTCCCAACTCAGGAGCCAGAAAGCACCAGGTACTTTCTTCAAGCAAAACACACTACCTGTTACTTCAGCCACATGGTCTTACACAGAGGTGTTTTCACAAATATATATAAACTTTTGGATTGTGTGGTGTACCGCTATTAAAACTACCACAGTACCAACATTGACTGCGGTGATTACAATGATTACATTTGAACAGATCAGGTAGTGTGATTAAAGTTAATTAATTGATGTGTGAGATTTCAAGTTAACGTTGGCAATCATTCATTGACAATAATGCAGGCGGAATATTGAACCTGGATGTGACGGCCGTTTCGCCTGTTGTCAGGTCACATACAAAATATGTAGTTTTAACGATATAATATCTAGTTATAATGAGATGTTAAAAATCTTTAAACTTTAGAAATAATGCGATATGTCATTTAAAAAAAAAATAAAAAATCAGAGATGCAGATTGCAATTTTCTTGGCCGATTCCGATTTCCTTTTTTTTTTTTTGTAGGTGTGACCTGCCGATACTGAATTTTGCCGATTCCGATTTTTTTTTCTAAGATATATAATTGACAGCATATACAAACAAAAATCCAAGTAAATGTACTTAAAAGAAATTCTTAAACATTACAATTCCCCAATCTGGACTAAGTTACAAATGTTTTCTCACTTAAACAACTCTCAAAATAAAGTGCTCTGTGACTGGAATGAGCTAGAATAACAGTTCACTGAAAATGAGTTGCTGTATATAACAAAACAGATGTCATTTCCTACTACGTTTATAAATGGTCATCTTTCACATCAAATTCTTACATTGTTTCAATTAATTCAGTTATAATAAGAAACTTTAGGATTGTTACCATTCTAATGATATCAGTATCAAGTAACTCCATCTTTCCACTGCAGGAAACACAAAAGCTGCATCTGAAGTGGCACAGACTGTTTGATGAAGCTGAGGTGCCATAAATGCATTTACACTGCAAAATTGCGAATGCATAAATAATTATAAAAGATTAATGTTTTAAATAATTTTTTGAACATACAAATAAGAAATGTTGGGAAAAATGCAATGATACTTTACATATGGAACCAAACCATCAGTAGGTGGCGGCATTACCTGTTTAATGAGTGAGTCATTTAGTCATTCATTAACCGATTTCTTCAAACGGCTGATTCATTCGGAGTCGAGGCAAGTGACTGTCTTTATGAATAGGTTACTGAATCATTGACTCACTCGATTTGTTTAAAAATGTGGATTCATTCGGTAACAAAACACAGCTGTGTTGCTGGGAGAAACACAACAGTTCTGCTGTGGCTTTGATTGGAACTATTTTTGTTTTTTGCGAAATTCAGCAAAAACAGTCAATATTGTGTCTAAAATGTAAGTCACTTCATTTTAACTTCTTGTTTATTGAACTACTATTGTATAAAATCAGTGTCACATTGCAATCGTGTTAACAGAACAACGTATAGCCGATATTGAGGAATGGAACGGAGCGGCAGGTGATGCACTCATTGACTTGTTGGAGAAACAAAGTGAGATGCAAGCAAAGTTCATCGATTTAGACTTATGAAATCGGAGTTGGGACTGCCGTTAACGGACATGGATCTTGGTATACAGCGCTGCCATAGAGCGCTTGTTCCAACAGCCTCCCCGCGTGACACACCACCTAGATCACTGGTGCTCTGTTTTTTAGAGCACAGAGTGAAAGAGCAGGTGCTGTTTACAGCATGGAAAAAACGGAAGTGCGTTTTGAAGGAAGAAGTGTTTATTTTGACCATGATTATCCCTCAGCGATCTTAAAGAGAAGGAAGGCATATGCTGGGATATTGAAGGATATAAATGAGGGTTTAGTTTTATTGCACATCGACTGACTTGCGATTCATTTCAGGCAAGCTGAAAGAGTGGTCTCTGGTACTTTATGGTTTTATTTGTGATGCCCTTATGAAATCGGAGTTGGGACTGCCGTTAACGGACATGGATCTTGGTATACAGCGCTGCCATAGAGCGCTTGTTCCAACAGCCTCCCCGCGCGACACACCACCTAGATCACTGGTGCTCTGTTTTTTAGAGCACAGAGTGAAAGAGCAGGTGCTGTTTACAGCATGGAAAAAACGGAAGTGCGTTTTGAAGGAAGAAGTGTTTATTTTGACCATGATTATCCCTCAGCGATCTTAAAGAGAAGGAAGGCATATGCTGGGATATTGAAGGATATAAATGAGGGTTTAGTTTTATTGCACATCGACTGACTTGCGATTCATTTCAGGCAAGCTGAAAGAGTGGTCTCTGGTACTTTATGGCACCTCTGTGCATCCATACTCGTTCCGCAGTGACAAGCCCCGCTCACTGGCGGAGCCTCAGCCTGATGACGAGTACAGTGAGGAGTATGTGGGTAAGTACTCTAATTATATTGTGCATCACTGAGTATTGTGGATATTCCATCACTGTGAAAACTGATCAGTTTCTATTTTCTCACACAAGGCTCGTGCCACCCTGAGTGTGGTGAGAACGGCTGTGAGGGTCCAGGGCCCCAGCAGTGCATCACTTGCCTCCACTATTTCCTCAAGTTCAAGAACAACACCAGGTACACAGCTTTTCATAACATCAGTACATCTTAATAACTATACTTGATTGGTGTGTGTGTGTGTGTTTTTTTTTTTTTTGTAATTAAAACTACTTTGTATAAACTTTTTATATATAACATAATGCCCATTGTTTTTTTTTTCTGGATACATTAACTGATACAAGCAAGCAAATATAAAAAATGCATCTCATGTGGTAGAACCAATGTGCACACATTTGCATGAAACAAAAATAAAAAAATGAAATGATTTCACATATCCATGCAGATCCTTTGTGTAGAGGTGTAAAGTGTCTTAAAATATCTGATATTCAATTCCATATTTTTTATGACATGACAAGGTTAGTTCAGATTGAACTAGAATTAATTTAATAATGATATTTGTAAATAATTAAATAACATTTGTAAAAGAAAATAAATGTTGTATGCTTAAAATATTCTTAAACTGGAACATATATTTCATCAATATTTATTTACATTATAAGATGTGTTAAGACATTTTTAGTCATTAAATTTGAACTTTGTATGTGAAATATAAACTACTTTTCAAATGTTTGGGGGTAGTGCAATTTTTATATTACAATAATACCATTTATTTAGCAAAGATGCATTAAATTCATTATAAGTGACACTTATAATGCTTATAACATTTAAAATGTTACAAAAGATTTCCTTTTCAAAGAAATGCTGTTCTTTTGAATGGTGATATTGAATTGTATCACCGTTTCCACAAAAATATAAAGCAGCACAACTGTTTTCAACACTGATGATCATAAGAAATCAAATCATCATGATTTCTGAAGGATCATGTGACACTGAAGTCTGGAGTACTGATGCTGAAAATACAGCTTTGCATCACAGGAATAATTTACATTTTAAAATATATTACAATAGATAACAGTTATTTTAAATTGTAATAATATTTCAGAATATTCCTGTTTTTTTTTAATGAAATAAATGAGAAAAGAGAATCTTACTGACCCCAAACTTTTGAACAGTAGTGCATGAGAGCAGCATGAATACATGAGTACATTTCTAAGAGCTTTGTACGTTTATTTCAACTTTTGTGTGAAACTCAAACCAGTATTAAATATCAATGTATTCATTTGTCTGGTATGTAACCTTATAATGAACTGGGTAATATACAGCCAGTCAGTCATTATTGCAAAATAAACACCCTACAGAGTGAAGACCCCAACATGAAGCGTGTGTATTGCGTAACATAATTAGAGCTACTAAAGAATCTAGAAAGTTTTTAATGCATTTACAGAAAGGTTGTATTACTGAAAGTACTCTTTTTTTTATTTTTTATTATTATTATTATTGAAAATAATTTGACTTGGAGTTAAAAGATTAATTAACTCCTATAAAAACATCAAAGCACATGCTGACAACAGCTGTGTGTCTGCGTGCCCCTGCTAACATCTCACATCTATCCAGACACTCTGTGTGTGTGTGTGTGTGTGTGTGTGTGTGTGTGTGTGTGTGTGTGTGTGTGTGTGTATAGGTGTTATTTTAGCAACCATTTATTTTTGAAATGTTGAAACTGGCAATTGAATATGTTCATTTAGTCAAATTAATAAAAATGAATAAAAGTCTAAGCCACATGGAAATTCCATAAGGGATTTTTAAAAATAATTCAGTAAAATGATAACTGAATTTTCTTCAGTGTTTACATTTTGACGCCATTTCATTTGCATGATTGTTCCAGTCATTTGCGATTTAAAGGATTATTATTATTATTATTTACTCACAAATAGCAGTTTCTACCCAAAATATAGTAAAATATTTTTGAGCTTGACATAACTAGAGAAAATACTTTTTATTTTATAAATGTACTAATCAAACTTTTCCTCATAAATCAAGGTTTTCCAAGACCTCAGGAATCCTGGTTCTTGAAATGGCAGTTGTACATGAAATAAAAATATAAAGCCAGTTTACAGTCTTGATTTTTGCTAAGGTTTTAGCTTATTTTATTGCTTGTTTTGTCTTATTTAAAATAATTTTAAGTCATCTTGTGGCCCTCTTGGAAGTTTGCTGAGGCCCCTAGAGGGTCCTGGGCCCCTGGATGAGAGCCAATGCCTAAATATTTAGTTTTTTAGCTCCACCTGCTGTCACCATTATTATTTTGCACACCAACAATGATAATATTCATTTTCATGGGTTTTTACTTTGTAAATTCACTATTCTTTTCCCCTGATATGCTCTGGCGGCCCCTATGGAGGCTCATCTCACAGTTTTTAAACCGTGACGTATAACGGTTTAAAGAAATAACCAGGGTTGGGAGGGTTACTTTTTAAATGTATTCCGTTACAGTTACAAATTATTTAATTAAAAAAGTATTCACTAACGTAATCCAAGTACCACAATATAAAAGTAATTTAATCTGATTACTTTTGGATTACTTCAAGTTACATAAGTAAATAAGTCAAAAAAGCTATATCTAAGTAGCCTACTTTTATTTAACTATGACTTTAAAATTAAAACTAATAAAAACTATAGTAAAAACTATTTGAAACTATTAAAAATCGTGTCTTGTTTCACCATCTAGATATTACAGCCCGTATATTTATATAAAAGGTGGCTATACAGTTTAGTATTACAGTTTTATTTTTTTTATTTTTTTTTTTATTTCTTTAACATGTACAAGTAAAAATAAATATAGGCCTAGTTTATACACAACATTAAAAAATGTACACCATATACATATTAGTCCATTTTAAAATAAGCCTACATGTCGAAATGCGCGTGAAATGCTATCTTTCTTTATTTCATTGACTGATCCGGGTTGTGGGGACTCATGTTAATTTCTAAATTTTTAGGCTCATTTTCTGCTAGAAAACTTACAACTGCAGTCATGCACACCATGGAATTTTAGATCACTAACAAACACTAAATTTGAGCTAATATGATGATTTCCGTGCTAGTCGGACTTGCAAATGTTCAAGTTGGTTGAGTAGCCTTTTTTAAAGCAAGAGTCTTCATGCATAGCTTACGCTGTACAACTATGTTATTTCCTTTATCCTCTTTAAAACAAAATAACTGTGAAACTTCCAGACATGAAAACGTTTTTCCCAGCAGGAAGCATCGTAATTAATTCATCCCGCCTTTGAGTAATTGTATAATTGTAGACGGGTGTTATTTGCGCATGCACCAGCAGGCGGCTCACGTGAGTCAACATGTGTCAACAGAACCAGGAACTAGAGCCCTGCATTTCAGTCCGGGCCCGACTTTTGCACACCCCTTGGGCCGGGCTTCGGGACAATTTTCACATCATAGTTCAGATGCGGGCTGGGCCTCGGGCCTGTTTTAGGCTTCTCCTTATTTTTATATTTTGTTTTCTGAGTCTGTGTCACAAGGATGAAATTGTCGATCCTGACTCGCCATCTCATTAGATGCGCCTTTAGAGAGAAGTGCATCTTTACAGATTATGATTATAATTTTTTTTATTTCGTTAAGTAGTAATTTAATGCTTTCTATTGATATATTTATCATGTCTGTGAGGCATCTATTCACTGAGTTTCGGTTCATTTTTGTGAAGCGCTCCTGTTCAAGACCGAGATGGCAGAAAGCGCATCATGTTTGTTTTCTTTATTTTATAAAGGCACAACGTTTTGTTGATATTGTGAGTGCACACAAATAAAAGTAGACCCTTTACAGTTCCAAATGATATATTATTCTTACTTTTATGAGCAAAAATTACGGTGTATCCACTGAAAACATGCAAGTGATCGCGCTGGCGCCTCCATGTCCTGCAAAGCGCACTTTAGCTTGCACTCTCCGAACAAACTATTGAATACAGCGCACATTTATCTAGGTTTAATGTTTAAACATTGTTATATGCTTGACCTGTTTTATATCTATAGATTTTGTTTTAGGCAAGTCGTGATGATTTGAGAAGGCTAAATTAATCAAACATAAGCTATGATCAGCTCACTGTCTGCCGCTGGCCACTTGTTTGTTACTTTAAAAAAAACAAAAAATTGTAACGAACAAAAATGCTCAAAACGTTTTTCTAAATTAACTTAATAAAAAAACGAAACAAAATATAATCACTTTACCATTACATACAAAACTGAACAATTTTAATAGCTGAAACATTAGTATAAAGTGTTTTGGGAGAAGGGAGAAGGGAGAAGGGGAAAAAAAGACTGTTACGGGCCGGTAATTCTGATAAGCTGTCGGACACAAGCCGGGCTAGGGCCTATATTTGAGGCCCGTGCAGGGCTCTACCAGGAACTGTTTTCCCACTTTTTACAAAATGTAACTGTAATCTGAATACTTTGTTTTTTTTTATGTAACTGTAACGGATTACAGTTACTAGATTTTTGTATCCTGATTACATAACGCCGTTACATGTATTCCGTTACTCCCCAACCCTGGAAATAACTTTGTGTTTTGTGGCTCAGTCTCAGCATTGAACCCCTTTGAATAATTCCCTCTTCCATTCTGTCTCTCCCACTTTCTTTACCTCTGTCTTTCTGCTAGTCTACAGGGGAATAAGTGTCAGCTGAGCTGTGAACCTGGAACCTATTATAATGGGCACCGACGAGCATGTGAAAAGTGCCACTCGACTTGTGCCACCTGTGCAGGTAAACACTTTACCTGTATTTATGGTACTTTATTTTCCATTTAGCTTTGCAGTAGGCTTTGATTATGATCTTTTGCTTAAAAGCTATTTATAAAATATAACTTCCAGTAGTTGTTTTCTATATTCTTTTGGAGAGAATACTGATTGGCTATTCCTTTTTGTTTTATTTATTTATTATTTTTTGGTAATGCATATACGCACCTTTTAGTTTGCAATTTGCATCCAAAAATGAAGAGTATATAATCATCCTGGGCACAAAAAAAGATGCACTGTATGATGCCATTTTGAAGTTCAAGACTTGGCAAGACTGTGAAGTACCTTCTGAGACTATTACATCAGCACTGTTCTCTCCAGTGTCCAGAAATGGCAGCTAATTACTAAGGCTTTACAGAACAACCAGTGCTTTGCTTCTGAATATAGTTTATCCAGCACAATTACTGTTGCTAGCTCAGATTCTGCCCCAGATTTTAACAACAGATTTTCAATCTTTATTGTAACGACTCGCTCATAATTCTCAAGGAATCACTGGTCACAAAAAGCTTTTCTGATTCAAGTCACTACGATTAATTAAAGTTCTTCTGGGATGTGTAATAGATTGGTAATTAAAGTAATAAACACCGTTGTAAACAAGCTTTTGAGTCGACTCTCAATCCAAGGAAGCACATTTTCACCAAATAAGAAAAAAAGCTCATGCTTTGGTAAATTAAGTCACAATTATGTTACAGAAAGTCAAAATGATGAGGTACAAAAAAGTTGAAAGGTCCACACAATTGGCCAAATGGAGGTATCCAATGGTGGATGAAGGTTTCCTGCGTGTTTGGTCTTTTCGGCGCGCAGTTATTAAATTTAGGTTAAATTAAAATCTGACTCTATTTTATTATGACCTCACATTTGAGTTAGAATGGCAATTATTATTGATCATTTATAGGATAATTTATCTAGACATCTGATTATTCTATTTATTCTTTAATATTATTGTACTTGTTCATTCGGGTGCTCATATCGCTCTAAGATATCGCTTCGGCCATTAGCGTGTCTTACAGACACATTCTCGTCAGTCTTGGTTATTAGACAGAGGTAATTGACTAATAATTTAGACAGCTGCTCCTATGCTTGCTCATTCTAAAAGTACTTTTATTTAGCCCCCATAGATTTGTACACACTTGAATAAAACAACATTATTTCTAGTCAGAGGTCACGACCACTACTATAGATATAAGCCGACCAACATTATTTTCCCTGATAGTAGCTTTGGTATGGTCATGCCATGGTTTCCCCATGTACACTTAGCTAGAGTAACATTACAATAAACAAAGGTCATGGCTCACCCTTTTTAGGTTTGTCGAACAACATCCAGTTGACCTAAACAGAAATTCCCTATAAGCCCTTACAATCTAAGTACACTTGAACTAATACCAAGTAAACTATGTTTGTATTTTCCATCTCAGAGTATCAAAGTGTCTGAGGTTCTGTAATTATTCTGAGATTAAACGCCCAAATTATGAGATAATTATGAGATTTAAATTGATATACTGTAAACAAAAATAAATAAATGTATATACTATCATTGAGTCTAAATTAAGATATTTTTGACAGTGTCATAATAGTTAATCTCATAACTATGATTTAGGGCCAGATTTACTAAACGGGGCAAATTAGCATTGGACCGCAATTCCATAAAAGCGCAGATGGGAGGGGAAAATTCAGCGTGTGATTTACTAACAATGCGCACATTAAAGAAAACAGACACAGCCAGATTATTTCCATAATGACCAGCGCAATCTACCAAGAGCAGCGCAAATTACCGCCTGCTTTAAGACATGCTTTTTTAGGGCGTTAAATAATGGCGCAAATACCAGTAATTTGACGAGCGCAAATGTTAGTAAATCGTGTTGCGTGATTAATTTGAATACTCTCCTCCCATAAATTTTGCGTCTGAAGGGGAAACTCCTACAAATGCATATTCAATAAGGTCAGGTGCAAAAATAACTGTGTCCACGCCTTTTCAGCGCTAATTCTTCACTTTAGAAAATCCTGACAGTACTATTTTAATGCCAAGACGGTTTAAAACTGGCCCTATGTGTTATGATTTTGACTACTTTCATAATTATTTATGGGTTTTTGTAAATTTTTACTTCAGTTTTACCCATCTCTTAATTATGACCTAGAAAGTTATAATTTTGACTCATTTAATAGTTTTTGTCATACTTTTTGACTTGTCAGTTTCAACTTTATTTCATAATTGACTTGGGTCATACTTTTGAGTTATGTCACAGTTATGTATTATAACTCAATTATAACTTTATCATAATTATGACTTAGTATGTCAGTTTTGACTTATGCTAGAGTTTTTATGTCATCGTTTTGACTATCTCATAATTTAAATTAGTATCTCATACTGATTTATGTTTGTATATGGCAGAAATGGGCTTCCATATAAATGTCAACAGCTCAGGGAATTAATGATTTTTAATATTAGCTCGCATCCATAATGATATGTACCTTTTAAAATTAGTTTCCCTACAAGTGATTTGTGTTTTTGTAACCAATACACTCGTGTCAGTTGCTTCCAAGCATTCTCAGAGGAAACCCTTTCCGGAAGAATGTCTCTGTGTGTACATTCCAAAGTGTATTCCTAATTATTTGCAGTCTGGCTTTTTGGGAACATGATGGTATTCCCTGTGCTCAGGAACTGGTATGGAAGCGTGTAATGAGTGCGCTCCGGGCTATTACTTTGAGGAGTGGCGCTGCGTCTCCAGCTGCAGTGTGGGATATTACTTGGCAGAACAAACGACAGACAACGGAGATGTCCAGAAGTCCTGTCAAAAGTCAGTATTTCACTGCTAAACGTGACATCTGAGTAAGTGTTTACATTTAAAGGGGTAACGATGCATCACGGCTGTGATTGTGCCTGCAGGTGTGATCCTACCTGCTACGTCTGCGCAGGACCGGGGGAGAGGAACTGCAGCACCTGCATGAGCGGCTATAACCTGGAAAACGGCGTGTGTGTCGTCAGCACCATCTGCAAAGATGGTGAGTACTGTAGATTCATCCATGCTAGCTTTTGGTTAGCTCCTTAATTTTGTGTTTTCTTTCCTCCAGTTTTTGATCAGAAACTTTTAAAACAAAATATTTAGTTTTTGCATGGGGTTGAATTATGGTCTGTTTATTTTGTTTTTCTGATGTTGGAAAGATGTGTCCAGATTACATTTCATCCCAAAATAACAAGAAAATTCTATTTTGCAAATACCTTTTTTCCCCTTAAGCAAGCACATTTAACCCCAAATCCTTATTCTGTGTTGCATGTGAACGTTTTACTTGATTGGTTTATTTAACGTTGCATAAGTGGAAAAATAGGTTTTCGTGAAACCTAAACTTAAGTGATCCCTGAAGAATCGTTGACTGGGTTGAAGTACAGGTTTTAGTCGTGGTAGCTAAATGAGGTTTGAAACACGTTTAATTCATTTGATCTCATCAGGCCATTGTATATTTTTAAAACAAATCCCTAAGCGTGCATTTTTATATCTCGCCATTTCAAAAAACAACTCCATAATATTGATCCTAAATGATTCATGTGAAATAAGGAACTTTATTTACAGCGCAGTGTTCGTTTCAGCCGCTTCCCTCCAGAACTATTTATATTTTATTGATTCGTCTTGGAAATGAAAAGTTAAACTGCTCGACTTTGAAATGGTCAGTTCAATATTCCAGGTCTTTATGAAAGTAACAAGTCTGTGATTCACATACGTAACTGGTGCTATTGACATAATGGAGTTATTAGAGAATGTTTTTGAATTCACATTTCCAACAAATATTTGAGAGTTCGAATCGTCTAGATTTTCAGTTGATCATATTGGCCGTATTTACTTTGTCCCTATTGCAGTGTCTTGGGAAACAGAAAAAATACTTAATACTCCATATTACGTTTTAATAAAGGACAGAAACGAGGTGAAATGTTTAGTTATACTAATAGTACTACACAACACAAATTAGACTTCTACATTCATTAAGGACATGTTTGACCAATCCGCTTTTGCGCAATGATAAGGGGATTTCTATGTCTTTTATTTATGAATGATGTGGTTTAAGATGACGTAGCCTTTTATTTATGAAAAAGATTTATAAATGGTCATAGTTCAAATGAGTTGTGTTTTGTGGATGGGATTGTCCAACCACTTCATGCTAATTGTGTATTCATGACACAAAAAAAAGTTGTATGATTGTACGTTTTCTGCAAACTCAATACATGCAACGTTACATAACTAATGTTATATAGGATTACGAGATTCAGTCTATGTTCAAATGTGTTACATTTACTCTGTTCTGGCAACGTTTTTTTTCTTAATGTATATATGTATTTTTATCACTATTAACCTTAAATATATTTTGCACCCACGTTCAATTGAAAAAAGGGGAAAATGGATGATCAAGTTTTCTAAAATTATTTTATATTTCTGTTTTTAGCCAACTGCCATGAACAGTTAGTCTAGATGAAGATGTGTTGTAGTCAGGGCCAAGAAAAATGTTTGATCATGTAGAGAAGACTGGATGAAACAACTGGGTTACTGATCTTTTTATTAATGAACTTTAAAATAAAAACAAGACTGAGATTAAAAGAGACTACTTTTGTTTACTCGTTAAGATTCTGGGCTACACTCTTAAAAATAAAGGTGCTTTAAAAGGTTCTTCAAGCGATGCTATAGAAGAACCATTTTTGGTTCCACAAAGAACCATTCAGTCAAAGGTTCTTTAAAGAACCATCTCTTTCTTACCTTTTTATAATCTGAAGAACCTTCTTTCACCACAAAGAACCTTTTGTGAAACAGAAAGGTTCTTCAGATGTTAAAGGTTCTTTATGGAACCATTTAGACAAAAAGGTTCTTCTATGGCATCGTGAAGCACCTTTTATTTAAGGTGTACTTTCTGAGAAGTCAGACTTGGTGGATAAATTGGGTGAAACAATCGCATAGCAGTGACCCGAGTCATATATAGAGTTCAGAAAGTCATAGAGCCCTTTTGACTTGGATCCGTATACAACCACCCTAGCAACCACAAAGCAAAACGCTAAATCGCACTCAGAAAAGCACACAAAACTCTAGTGTTTTGGTGGCGAGTTTTACACTGACAAGCACCGCTCACATTTTCATCGTAAAAATCTCGTGCTGTCAAAGCGCTTGTTTACTTTGACTTCAAGAAATATTGTTCAGAGTTGAATTCTTGTGGTGAACTGGTGTGAGAATGATTCAACTTCTCCTTGTTTTCTTTACAAAAGGCCCTTTTTGTTTTGAAGAGAACAATTCAGCATTTGACCGAAAGAAATTCATCTCGAATGCGCAGTGGTCACAATGACTTTAAAAGAGACAATATATGCGCAGCCTCTTGTTCTGACCTGTGGCCGTTTTCTTTTAGAACGAACATTTCTAAAATGGTTGCAGCTCCCACACAACCATTGTTACTTTTCTGTGGTGAATAACATGATAAAGCCATTACTATTGACACATGCTGTTTTAAATTTTACAAACCTTGCGAGAAATATCAAAGCGATTCTTCAGTGTTTTTGCAGTTTAATGCAAGCAGTTTGAGTGCGAAAACTCATTTAACTGACATTGGCTTTGGACCCATATTTAGTCTAGTGATTGACAACTCAATTACGGTCATGTAGGGTCATGGGCGGCTGCTTCAAGACTGTCAGAATTGAGTGAATAGAGTGTATCAGAGCGTAAGCCTGAGGTCATCAGAAGGGTCAGCCAGCTATAGATGTCCAGCTCACTCTAAAGGAAATCTCACAAATACATTGCTTAGCTTGGGGTTAAAGGTTAGCTCAATGTATTTAGCTTTTCTCACATTCCCATAACATTGCTTTGGGATAGTTTTGATCCATTCTGACACCTAGAGAGTGAAAAATATGTTTTGGTTACTAACAAAGGTGTCAATTTGACTGTGTATGTGCAATAATTTTTTATTGTGGTCAGTTTTTTCAACTCGCAAAATCAATTTTTTTATTCAGCTTTCAGTTATTTTTAAGTTTTTAGTTTCTAAGGCCTGCTGATTGTATGGGGGCAATCTTCATAAGCTTTCTTACTACTTTTGAGAGTGTTCTGATTTATGAATCCTGCATGTGCATGGCCTATGAATTGTCTGCAATCATAAACGTCAGCTGGTCAATCCTTCAACCAGAAGCCTTTCATATTAATGCTAAAGCTCTGAACAGGTAAGCACTTTGGTTTCCCTCTCTTTTTGTATGTACTGTATATATGTATTTCTTTTTTCTTTTTTTTCTTTGTGTTGTTTGCTTGCTTTTTTGTTAGCTTGTTTGTATGTATTTTTTTACTTGTTTGTTTTGTTTGCGTTGTATGTATTTATTTTTTGTTTGTTTCATTAGCTTGTTTCTTTTTTTATTTTTTATTTGTTTAATTTACTTGTTTTGTTTAATTTGTTTACTAGTTTTGTTTGCTTTTCTTTTTTCTTGTTTGTATTTGTTTAATGTACTTGTTTTGTTTGCTTTATGTATGTTTTTGTTTCATTTTCTTGCTTGTTTGCATGTATTTGTTTTTGTTTCATTAGCTTCTTTCATTTCCTTGTTTGCATGTATTTGTTTTTGTTTGTTTGCATGTATTTGTTTTTGTTTGTTTCGTTAGCTTGTTTCATTTGCTTTGCATATACGTTTCATTTGTTTGCAGTATTTGTTTAATCTGCTTGTTTTATTTGTTTGTTTGTTTGAATGTATTTGTTTTTGTTTGTTTCGTTAGCTTGTTTCAATTGTTTGCATGTATTTGTTTAATCTGCTTGTTTTATTTGTTTTGTTTGCTTGTTTCGTTTGCTTTCTTGTTTGTATTTGTGTGGTTTGCTTGTTTTGTTAGCATGTTTAATTTTCTTGTTTCATTTGGTTGTTTGTTTGTTTGCTTGTTTGTATTTATTTAATCAGCTTGCTTGTTGTTGTTTTGTTTTGTTTTTTTACTTTGTATTTTCCTACTTTTCTTAAACGTGCATTCAGGGAAATGTTAGTTATTTCTGATGCTACATACATAAATATACTAATATAATAAACATGAACCACTGGATTATTTACCAACAAAGCATTTGTTCACAACTGCTAATACAATTTATGTCTACCTACACAAGATGAAGTGGGATATTCTAGTTAAGCATCTTTATGTAGCTGATGTGTTATCTGTATTTTTTTATCAGGGGAACATTTAAGCAAACCTGCTCAATGTGAACGGTGTTCCTCAACCTGCTCAAAGTGCACTGGACCTGAGAGTAAAGACTGCATCAGCTGTGCTTCCACCAGGTGAGGCATGAACAAATCACCACAGAACCACAGTCAAATAAAGCCTCAGTGAGACAAGAGGTGCACTGTGTGGTGACAGATTTCAGTTTTTATTCTTTGGCAGGCTCTTTGATAACGGGCAATGTGTGATCAGCTGTGACCCTGGGAAATACAAGAGGGAGAGACGGTGTCATCTTTGCCACCACACATGTCTCGAATGTACAGACGAGGGGCCTGACAAATGTACTCGCTGTAGCAAAGGTAAACCGAGTCATGACTGCCTCACAAAATAGAAAAAAATACAAGCTCTTAACATTGTTCTTATTCTGTTTGTTTTCACACAGATAGGTTTGGAGTGGAGCGGTACCTCTTTGAAAGGGGAGTGTCGTGCAACCTGTCCAGAGGGCTATTCCCATTCCTCGAACGGAACATGTGATCCCTGCTCTCCAAATTGCACTGTGTGTACTTCTTCAGGCCACTGTCTCCACTGCACCCCCTCCTACTACCCTAAAGACGGGACGTGTGCCAAACTGGAGTGTGGACTGGGTCAGTTGCATCATAACTGTTCTAGAATGTTCTCTATTGCTTGCTTGGCCTTTTCCATGTTTCTTTTTTGTGATGTTAAGATTCTGGTTACTTTTTTTTGGAATGTGAATGAGGTTTATTTGAAAATTCTCCTGAAAATCGAATTAGTGGTTGAACTGCAGTGTTAAAAACACATTGCCATTGCCAAAATGGTTTTGTGTTTGCTTTTTTGCCAGTATTTTTCACCATAATGTTCCCAATGGATGAATCTCACAAAACCTGACAAGAAATTACATATATCATATTTGTGATATATGGTGTATGTGTTTACACATTATGATAGTATATGTTTTACTGCTTGTGGTGGTGTTTGTATTGCTGCTCTATCAATGAAAATATGGGGGTGGTAAGTTGAAAAAAAAAAAGTTTTTGAAAAAGGTATCTTCTGTTCACCAAGGCATCAAAATACATCAAAAATACAGTAAAAACAATATTGCTACATTGTAAAATATTATAATTTAAAATAACGGTTTTCTAATTTATTCCTGTGATGTAAAGCTGGATTTTCAGCATCATTACTCCAGTCTTCAGTGTCACATTTATTATTATTAGCAACGTTGAAACCAGTTGTGCTGATTAATATTTTGTGGAAATCGTGAGAATGTTTGTAGGATTTTTTGGTGAATAGAAAGTTTATAAGAAAAGCATTTTTTTTTTAAATAGTTTTTTTCGCTACTCATCAATTTAATGAGTCTTTGCTGACCCCATACTTTTGACCAGTACTATAAAAAACACAGCAATTGTATATTGTGATTAAGTAAAAAAAAAAATTTGCAATTGTGATTTAATTAATCTATTAAGTCATGAATCTATTAAGTCGTCATTGAAAAGAATTACAGGGAAAAAAAACTTCAAAAGAGGGTAATGTACTTAATTGTCATGAAACTAATGTGACACAAAATGCTAATGGATCTAAAAATACACGAAAATATACTTTTTATCATTTGATTTTGCAGTGCTGTTTAACAAAGACATGTTTTCATGAGATTCACCCCACTAGACAGAAGACTTCTCTCTCATTTTGTATGCTGAGCTAGATCGCGTTAACCTACGTATATCTGTAAATCTAACTCTATGGATGTTGTTTGGCTTCTCACAACACCCACTGCTGTTTATCTAATCTTCTTCACAAATTGTTATCACAGTCAAAGATGCGCTGAGCATGAGGGTAGAGCTCGTCTGCAGAAGTCAGACTGAAATAGCACCAGAAATGAGACAGTGGGGGAACAGAAATTCTTATCATTAGTGGCAGACATGTATAAACGGGCCCTGTGCTCTGGCCTCCAGGGCTCCCACACACTACTGTGTGCACACACGCAGCCTCTGCCACACATGCTAATACAGACATCTGATTTTTATGTACATCTGTATCATGCAATTTCCTTTTCCATGTTAGCAACACTAATTCTGCTGACTCGTGGTGTGATGCTTGTTCTTATATAGGTGAAGCAGCTGACTCTGATCATGAAGACTGTGTAACCTATGAGGAGGGCTGTCAACAATGCCTCACTGGTCAGTATATCATTATTTGGATGGATGTGTGCACAACAAGCATTGCTCATAAAGAAATGAAATGCATCATGTTTTCAGCAACAAAAAAAAGCCTAATCTATCAAATTTTAATACACAAATGTCTAGGGCCTCTGAATCATCAAAATGATCCAAACTTTACTGAAAACCTGTTGTACACAATCCTCTACATGCCTTCTGTCATCTGACTGATAGTTTATACTTTTTAGGCAAGTAAAAGGCATTTTAGTATATTTAAAAACATTGATTTCAGGTTGTGGTTCATGTCTTTTTGTAGTGAAATCGTTTAAATCCTGTAACATTGTCAATAATATTAAAAGACTAACACTTAGGCATCTTAGGTTAACTTGATCATACCTTGTTCAAAAGTTTGGGATCAGTAAGATTTTTTAATGGAGTCTCTTATGCTCATCAAGGCTGTATTTATTTGATCAAAAAATACAGAAAAACTAATATTGTGAGATATTATTTCAATTTATAATATTGGTTTTCTGTTTTAATATACTTTAAAATATAATTTATTTTTATGTTTTTAATGGAGTCTCTTATGCTCATCAAGGCTGTATTTATTTGATCAAAAAATACAGAAAAACTAATATTGTGAGATATTATTTCAATTTATAATATTGGTTTTCTGTTTTAATATACTTTAAAATATAATTTATTTCTGTGATGTAAAGCTGTATTTTCAGCATCATTACTCCAGTCTTCAGGGTCACATGATCCTTCAGAAATCATTCTAATATGCTGATTTATTATCAGTGCTGGAAACAGTTGTGCTGCTGCTTTTTTTTTTTTTGGAACTCTATTATGAATAAAAAGTTAAAAAGAACAGCATTTATTTAAAATTAAAATCTTATCTAACAATGAGTCTTTTACTATCACTTTATCGATTTAACACATCCTTGCAGAATAAAAGTATTCATTACGTTCAAAAAAAGAAAAAAATGTACTGATTCCAAACTTTTGAACGGTTGTGTATATTGTAACACAAGATTTCCATTTTCCAATCCTGAAAAAAGTATCACAGGTTCCAAAAAACATGAAGTAGCACAACTGTTTCCAGCACTGATAATAAATCAGCACATTAGAGGGATTTCTGAAGGATCATGTGACACTGAAGACGGAGATGGAGTAATGATGCTGAAAGATCAGCTTTGGCTCTCAGAAATAAATGATATTTTAAGGTATATTAAAATAGAAACTGTTATTTTAAATTGCAATATTTCGCAAAATAACAGTTTTTTTTTTCTCCCTGTATTTTCGATTGTGTTTTTCCTCAAGTGTGAGCTTGATTCTGGCTATATCATACTATATTCTGACTATATCATCAAAAGCCTGATGTACCAAATATGATACTCAATAAAAAAAACTAACTTTTATTTCATTTGTCAGGCTTTACGGGGTAATTCTTACTACTACTTTTGCTTTTTTTTAAATTCAGATTATTAGGCTGATAGTTTAAAATAATGTTAAATTCCTGTAAATGTTTGTTCTAAATGAATTCAAAATAGAATCATTCCACTAATGGTTTGTGACTTTGGGCCCGTTTGTGCTCTAGATGCACCAGTGATTTCAATGCGTGTGTAGTAGTCCACAAATGAAAGGGGTTGTGTGTGACTGTGTCTCACCACAGCTTCCAGTATCTCTTTGCATCTGTTATAATTCTCAAAATTAGAGTATGTCTGGTCTGTATCTCAAAATGTGGCAGGCTGCCTGCATCTGCACTTCAAGGCAGCATTATTTGGCATCATGGCTCAGAAAAGTTGTGTCCACGATGTCTAGGTAGGCTGCTCACCAGCTTGTGAGACACAGCAAGTCAGTGTGTCAAGATCAAAGTGGTAAAATGTAATTAAGTATTTTTTGGGAGTATCTGTACTTTACTTGAATTTTTATATTTCAGCCAACTTTTACTTTTACTCCACTACATTTCCTAATTAAAATGCATACTTTTACTCCGATACATTTCCCCGAAGCATATTCGTTACATACTACAAAATAGTCAGAAGTCAGAAGAACACGGACTGCAGGAAAGCAGGTTTGACAAATCAGTGGTCTGGCGTTTGCAAGTTAGACTCCTAAAAACACCTTTGCTTATGTGCAAACGAGTGTTTTAATTAGTCTATTAAATCTCCAAATTTAAGGCATTCTAAATTGTAGATGGCAAAAATGCTTCAAGATGCTTTTTATATTTATATAATTTATTATAGTTAACTTAATATCACACAAAGAGTACCGTTTATCTGCAGCTATCAGCATGACAACTAATTTAATAATCATTTTATACAAGTTCAGTAAAGTTAGCAATAAGTGACTTACATTTTAGACTTGTTTTTGCTCAATTTTACCAATGAAAATAGTTCCAAACAAAGATCACAGAACTGTTTTGCGTCTCTGAGCAATGTGGAACGTGTTTACTTATTGAATGAATCATCTTTTTGAATGAATCGGTTGAATAAATGATTCAGTGATTCACTCATTAACAGAGTTAAATGCTTTGTTCCTGAATGAATTGGCCGTTTGAATGAATCTTTTGTCACCATGAAATCAAAATTGAAAATTCGTATTTTTTAATGGAATACAGTAGTGTTTATTATAAATAATTTATCCGTGCACTTCACAATACATTTTTTAAAATTCATGTGCCCTCGTCATTTTTTATAAAAAACGTTAACCTCCCCTCCCCCTCAAAACGACTCCTCTACTCTTCCGGTCACGAGCTATGGCGCAAGGGTGGAGCTATCTGGAAATGCCAGCAGCTGCAGAGACATCAGTGACGTTTGGAATAAAGGATGGGGAAAAGCTGAAGCTGATGCTTCACTTTATAGCACTGACACCAATCATGAGGGTGTACATTACCCCTAAACATTGAAAAGATATTAGGATATTAAGACAACATTACTCTTAGGACATCGCAAACAAATTTTTTTTAAATTAATTAATTAAATTAATTTTTCTTAACCCGATGGAGGACGCGCTCAGTCATTCAGGCAGTCTCTCTCCGCACACGCTGTTTAGGCGTTGATCATCGTCGTCCTCATCCTTAATAAATAAAACATTTATTCATGCTTGGGTGTCGGTGGTGAATCCAGTGGAGAGAAATCCCCCACCACTAACTGCAAACTGGCATTCAGATCTGCCTCCATTTTGTTGGCAACGCCCCACCTTCCAACGATCCAATCAATTCCCGAAGAATGAAATCAAGTCCCGCCCTCTCATTTCACATGCCGTTTCACTCGGATATACGTCAGAGCAGAGAAGAAAATACAATCGCAACTTCCGTTTCATGCCGACTTTAACAGTCACTTGCGGACACCTACTGGCAGTTAATTTCACATTTCGACTATTTTTTTTTGATGTTTTAAATAATTTCAAATATCAGTATTCAGCGTTTTATGTTAAAAACAAAACATTATTTATCCATCTGTAACTGCAGGTTAAATGCATCCATGTCCCCTCTGACTCTGAGCTACATTAAACTGTGTAAATACATTTAAATCCTATTTCAGATGCAGATTCCAGAAATGTTTTCTTATGTTGGAATGAAAGACACTAAATACCAGATGAAATGCTTCTTATTCTTACCCAAAAATACAAAATGGAAGAAAGAGATAAAACTGAACACAATCTGTCAAGTATGACATTTTTGATATATTTATTTGCTTTTATTTCTATTTTGCATTTACTTGTACTTTTACTTTCAATACTTAAGTGCGTTTAAGATTGTAAAAATACGTACTTAAGTACAATATCACATAGTTTAAGACTTTTACTCAAGAAATATTCTAAACGGTGACTTCAATTTCTACCAAAGTCATATTATGGTAAGATATCTGTACTTTTACTTGAGTATGGCTTTCAGGTACTTTATACACCACTGAGAAAGACACACACAGATAAGTGTCTAACATCAGCCCGCAGCTTTTCGGCCAAGTTAAATCCGATAAACCGATAAAGTTTAAGAAAAACTTACAATCTTTCCTTCAACAAAAAGATTTGGATTACTAACACTAGAAACACAAAAACCTGCGATCTTCCCCTCAGATCATATTTGATGTGTGAGTGGTGATATTCCGTTCCTCACTGTCGCCCTCTGCTGGTCAGTGTAGTATTGCAAGAGTAATGCCCTATTCAAACTGAGGAACAATAAAAGCGATATTTAAAGCTTAAAAATGGTAGTTTCTCATTTTTATCATCTGGTCATTCATGCCTGTGCACATTAATTTCTTTCTCTGCACCAGCTCAGGCAGATAAACAGTGCTTTGGTGAACTTCCTGAACGGTTTTATTGTTTCATTCAGGGCTGAAACGCAAAGAGTCAAACCAAAGAAACTTAAAGTAGCTGTATAAATTCCTGAGACCACCTAGTAACACATCAGTATTACGTTCTTGTTTTGTATTATGTCCTCCAATAAACCAGAACTGAGTGTGTGAAATGTGTGTGAGAAATACAGCAATGTCGTCCTCTGCTGGTTACCATAAATAAATAAATAAAATCGGCATTTTTAGTCAAAGCTACTAAAGTAGTAAGTCAGTAGTAATTTTAGTAGCCACCGATCATTTCTGTTTATAAGAAGAGCTGGGACGTGCACAGACATTTTGAGAGGCAGGGGCTCAAGTGGAAAAAAGGGCACTTATTATATTTAAAAAAAAATTCTAAACAAAATGTTAAATATATTAGGGGTGTGCAGTCTTATATGCATCTCAATATTTTCTGGGATTTTGTCAATAGCGATAATTAGATGATATTTTGCTGAGTGTTAGTTATTGTGCTGATATCTTAAGGACTACCGTGGACAGCTGAATCCTAAAATTTTTGATATTCTTCATATTCTGTGTGATCGGTTCACACTGATAGAAATTAATATTTTCCAATAGGTTTAAATAGATTTTTGCCTTTTATGAGCATTTTTACCTTTTATTAAGCCTTTCAGTCAAATTCTTAAACTGAATCAGTCCAATTCTTAAACTGAATCAGTCAGT